CTTCTATCGTGTGAGTGCTTCCGGATTCTATCCCACATCTGCAGTTGAGTTATTCCGCATGTTTGTTTCAACGGTTGGTTGGATCCGAATGACGAATTTCCCAAGCAGCTGGTTTTGGAGGAAGCTGTTGTCGACATTCTCTCCCTCCGAGCTGGAGTTGAGGCCTATCAACTGTACTCTTCCCAAGGTTTTTCCTGATGTTCCAAACGATTGCTATGGGCTCGTGCTCCTTGCAGCCGACGTACCAGTTGATCTACAAGCGTCCTTTGTTGTACCGTATTTTCCTTCAGTCGAGCGACAACAAGTGGGTACGTCCTTCCGGATACCTCGTACTGCTTTATGGTGTCCTTGGCCTCGCCCTGCAGCGCGTCGAGCAGATAGTTTATTTTGTAGATGTCGTCCATCTCTCGAGAATCCACTGAAGGTTCGAAGGCCGTCCATAACGTATCCCACTCCCATACCCGTCCGCTGAACTTGGGAATTGTGATTGGTGCCAGTTTCAACTGAGAAATGTCTGGAGAGCTTGCCGCTACTCAGTCAGATCATCAATGATTCAGTGATGCAATCGCTCTGTGGTGCAGACAACGGACGTAGTGCATGCACAGACAGGACCTCATGCGAAGCGGGAATGTACACTCACACCTTCGCTGATATCCTGGCATCTATCCTTCGATCGGTACCCTGGCAATTTGCTCCTTGCCGATCCTTTGGTGGTTAGTTCCTCGATCGATCCTTGGACTTCTGTTCCTTGACCGATCCTTGACTTGTCGTGGGTCGCTCAGGTCCGATGCACCATATGTCGTCGGTGATTCAAACCTCAAACTTGGGTAATTAGACGTTTATCTTGAAGTACCAAAAATAAAAAGGAATTAAACTATGAAGCTCAGCTCACCAAGGCTCCTTTTATGCAGGCGGAGCATGCTGGTATGCGCAAGAGATATATACCATTTTCACTTTAAATCGGACACCCAAATCGGACACTTTTCAAACCAAATCGGACACTTTTCAAATCAAATCGGACACTTTTCAAACCAAATCGGACACTTTTCAAATCAAATCGGACACTTTTCAAACCAAATCGGACACACCCCTAGCACTGGTCCGTTCACAACTAGGCCTTATTAGGTACTGCCGCAAGCCCCGCCCCCAACACCCCGCCCACTTCTCAGCGCAGTCATTGTCTTCCAAAATTCATTTCATGAACTCTATTCATCCGACTTTTTTAAAACTTTTGCTTTTTCGTATACACTCCAGCTGAAAGTGTTGGTACCGGTACGAGCCGACTCCGCCCACTTTTTGATGAAGGAACTTCACGTCTTGGATTTTCGTAACTTTTTTTACCTCATTCTTTTCATAAACATTTTTCACAAAACGGATGTACATGTAGATACGCATCTGTACACTGCTACACTAAGCTCCGCCCACTTTCTGACCACGCCCACTTTCCTTTCGTGGAATTTTGACTTTTTCTTCGAAATAATCACTTTTTCAGAGTGTAGCAGGTAGCCCCGCCCACAACAGGAAGCCCCGCCCACTTCGCGGAAGCTCCGCCCACTTTTCAAGAAATGGCCCAGATCGGCAGATCAGAGCCCGTCCTGCCAATTTATCGTCTCCCCCATCACCCGGAACGAAAAATAAGGGGGAAATCCGTTCCGAGAAACCTTCGAAACCGTGAACTGGCCATTCGGACACCAACCCGGCAAGTTTGTTCATCTTTCAGAAGTGGGCGGGGTTCTGCGAAGAAGGCGGAGCACTTCAGGGTGGTTGAAGGTCCATGCTACAGCTACAAAGAAAGGAAAACCCAAGAAGGAGTCAATGCTCTGCAAAAGTTCATCAAAAGTAGCAGGGCGCATGCCAGTTCTATTCTAAAAGGGATGTCCTTCAAACCGAAGTAGACAATTTGGAATCAATTTGTACACATCCATTGTCCTTTGAACATCAAGTCCCTTTGAACATCCAACGTCAAAGGCCACTATCCGACGGCACAGCCAAGAGGTCTATTCGTCATGCAACCAGTGGCACACGATGCACCCTCAGCTTGAAGAAACACCGAGCTTCAATGGCACCGCGACGCTACAAGAGAACTACTTTGGCGCAGAAGCAAATCCTGCTGAAGCTTGTACATACTGACGGCATGACGATTCGCGAAGCTGCTCGAGTTGCTGGTATTAACGAAAGCACAGCAAGGAACATCATCGTTGCTCACAGACGTGAAGGTGCAACCATGGAACGCTGCTGCGGAGGCAACAACAGGGTGAAGCTTGTAGCTGACGTCTTGCAGCTCATTGAGGAGCTAGTTGAGCAACATCCCGAAGATACTCTGCAGCAGATACAGTTGCGATTGAAAGAAAGCAACATAGAATTGGCCGTATCAACAATTTTCAATGCCCTAGTGAAACTGAAAATCACCCTGAAGAGGTGTCATCATGAACTCGACCGAGTCAACAGCATCGCAACGATTAAAAGCAGGCAGGCTCATGCGCTGGACTTCACAGCACATGCACCAACGGACAGGAAAAAATGCATCTTTATCGACGAAAGCGGATTTAACCTCCATTTACGAAGGACGCAAGCTCGATCAAGGAAGGGAATGCGAGCCAACGTTGTCGTTCCAACAGTAAAAGGCCGTATGGTGACGCTGATCTTGGCGATGAATGATCAAGGAGTAGTGCACAGAAAGATTATAGATGACGGAACCTGCAACGCTCACAAGTTTTGCACATTCATCGAGGAGCTTGTGGCCATTCTGCGCGAAAGTGAAGAGATGGCTGGTTCATGGCTTATCATGGACAATGCAAAAATTCATAAAACGGAAGAACTACGAAGAATATTAGCTGACACTTCGTACCAGCTAAAGTTCTTATCGCCTTATTCCTATATGCTGAACCCGGCCGAAAACGTATTTTCGAAGGTAAAAGCGTCTGCGAAGCGCTTGCTGATCAACCCGACGACAGAGCAGACGCTGAGACGGTCCATTGTGGAAAGCATCGGGATGGTTACACAGCAGGACTGCTCAAGCTTCGTCCTCCATATGCTTGCGAACTTGGCGACTGCGGCAGCGGGACAGGCTTCATATGTAACCGCTTTCGTTTTGTCGTTTGTCCCATTTTTTTTGTACATATTGTCGTCCTTGAAGATTTTGTTAATATGACTTTGTTGTGGAAACCCTTGTTATCATTGTTCTACGAAGACTTGCTAATGTTATACGCAATAAATGTACATATTATAAATGTTTACATGTTGAACATTATTATGTTGGTTTATTACACAATAAATATACTATGTATCACACGTGTGTGGTGTATCGATCCTTTTCGTTGGCTTGGGGGTACTCGTACTACTGCAGAAAATCCAAAAACTGCGGTAAGTTGGGCATGGAAAAACCCTTACTTTCTCTTGTCTCCCTTCCCCTTGAGAAATATTCTTTAATTCTTTCATTCCGGGTGATGGGGAGACCGATAAATTGCAGGGACCGGGCTCTGATCTGGCCTTTTGACCCCAAGGGGGCGGAGCTTCCGCGAAGTGGGCGGGCTTCTGTTGTGGCAAGGCTACCTGGCTAGCAACTTCTGAAAAAGTGGATTATTTCGAAGAAACAAGTCTAAATCACGAAAGGAAAGTGGGCGTGGTCAGAAAGTGGGCGGAGCTTAGTGTAGCAGTGTACAGATGCGTATCTACATGTACATCCGTTTTGTGAAAAATGTTTATGAAAAGAATGAGGTAAAAAAAGTTACGAAAATCCAAGACGTGAAGTTCCTTCATCAAAAAGTGGGCGGAGTCGGCTCGTACCGGTACCAACACTTTCAGCTGGAGTGTATACGAAAAAGCAAAAGTTTAAAAAAGTCGGATGAATAGAGTTCATGAGAAATGATTTTGGAAGACAATGACTGCGCTGAGAAGTGGGCGGGGTGTTGGGGGCGGGGCTTGCGGCAGTACCTAATAAGGCCTAGTTGCGAACGGACCAGTGCTAGGGGTGTGTCCGATTTGGTTTGAAAAGTGTCCGATTTGGTTTGAAAAGTGTCCGATTTGATTTGAAAAGTGTCCGATTTGGTTTGAAAAGTGTCCGATTTGGTTTGAAAAGTGTCCGATTTGGTTTGAAAAGTGTCCGATTTGATTTGAAAAGTGTCCGATTTGGTTTGAAAAGTGTCCGATTTGGTTTGAAAAGTGTCCGATTTAAAGTGAAAATGGTATAAACATGATGAGCGAATGTTGTGCGAGAAACCTTTACAGTTGCTCAGATCAGCCTACTGATAACGATATTGAAGCTTACAAGACTATCAGTACAGTAGAACGAGTAAAGTATAATGTTCATAAAGGTTACAATAATGATGATGTAACAACGGTAAATAGAGCGAGAGGCACTATACCCGGGCCTGCTATTCGAAAAATTTCCAGTTTTGATCACAACGTGATCCCTGCCGGACGACACGAAAAACCCACCCAATATACGATCAGATACCAATTTCGTTCGTTTAAAGACTTCGGTATGCTTCTAAAACACATGTTCGCGAAGCATATCAGGAAATAGTTCATTGGGCGCCGATTGGCATCACCTCTGTAATGCGCCATGCATAGGGCTCTCACGCAGAGGTATTGGGAAGGTGCAACTTCTAGAAAGGGCTTCCTCCGTGCAAGTAGATGTGCTTCTGCGATCAGAAAGGTCCGGAAGTGTATTTTCATCTGTTTATTAATTCATGACGTCGTTGTGGGCGGCCATCGCATTTCCTGTCATCGCCCGTCCCTCATTTCTCGAGGGGGGGAGTCCTAAGCAATGGCCTGTGCTTAAGACTCCCCCCCCCTCGAGGTCGAGCACGAACTCCCCGTGTTGTGATCATCACGACGATGGCGTGCCCTGTTTACACTATGATCTCAGGCAGAGTATGATCTTTATGTCGCAGTACG